ACATCGAAGAGAATGAGCAGCGTTTGCCAACAATAAGCAATGTTTCATCTTCTTGCGCCTCTTCTGTTTCAGGTGATCAGGATGAGCAAGGACTGGCCGATGATGAAATGGAAGAAGAAGAAGCCTTACCTTCCTTCCAAAATATTGCCCAACAAGAGGTCATGAAAAAGAGCAATGCTGATCTTTCAGCTTTGAATAGAGAAAATCTTCTTGAGCAATCTAAATGTTCAGACGACACCACAATGATCACAGCTGATGATGGTAAAACACAAACTATTCAGGCCACTATCACCGAAAAGTTATTACATCAATTCTATCTTGAGACGATTGCAGAGATGAATATTTTCGATCCCTTCTCGAGCGGTCATGACGATCACACACCCATGAGCAATAATAACCAAGAAGAATCAGGTGTTGCCCATATCAGTACGCTCGCTTCTCCAGCTACATCGAGCATGAATCGTACACCTTGCGAGGACCTTAATGAAAATGCCATTGACAGCAGACCACAATTACTTTCAATCAAACGAGAATTGGAACACGAGATTTCTCTGATCGATTCTCAACTCTTTGACTTGAATGAAACGGAAGCGTTTTTGTCAGCTGCCCTCAATCGTTTAGCTGCAGAAAATAGAATTAATAACGCTCTCAAGGATCATGAAGCGTGCAATTTAGAAGAGTTGAAAGAGCTGTCAAAAATTGTTGAAATTGAGGTTGAAAAAAAAGAGTCATCCGAACAAAAACAAGATCATCTCAACCATTGCAGAAAATGATAGTGATAATGCCTTCACCAACTCCTCAATTGCATATAATATTTTACAATTACAGCATCTCATTGATTCTTCGTCCAAAAAACTTGAAGACGTGCAATTTCGTCACAACCAACTAGTCCAAACCAAGAGAAGAAGAATGGTTGAGAAGGCTCATCTCCGAGAGCTTAACAACCAGAGCCTTAGGTATGAGAAAAAAGTCAATTCTGACATTAAAAAAATTGAAGACAAGTATAGCCAAGATTTGAAGAAGGAACAAGATGAGAGTAACATATTAGAGGCCACTGAGAAAATGCTTCAATTCAAAATGCAATTTGTGACAAACGAAGATGGCCAACAATTAATGGAGACTATGGAAAAAGTCATGTCAATGTTGAAAGGCAGAGAGGAGTTGCCTGATGGAAATTATATCAGCGTCACGAGAGCAATTAACTATTATTCTCAACTCAAAGAGGCTGCCGAGAAGAATATCTTCACTGTAGAATACTTTAAAAAGTTTCTGAGAGAGCACAAGGAATTTGGTGTATTCGCTTGTAATTTCGAAGACTATTACTCCCAGCCAACACCTGATCTTTCTTGTGACCGTTCTATTTTTGCTCCTCATGACCATGGCTCAACTATTGTGGGTACGAAGCAAGATATCCAAGATGTTGGCTCAGAAACCTTAGAAAAGTCCACAACCAAATATATACTGGATCCACAGAGAGTCTCTACAATACCCGAGAGGAAATGCCAAAGTTTGAATATGATGTTCTGCATCGAGTAAAACTCCTCTCAACAAGCGTAGTGTCAACCCTAGTGGCACTCGGATTAACAGGTCGCTTTCTCTCAGTAAGAGTGTCATTACAACACCGTTCACATCCCTCACTACAAAATGTATCTTCTCAAAGTGTGAATGTCCCTTCTTCCAATCCTGTTACTTCAAAAGGTAATGCTCAAGATGTGTTGCGAAAGAAGTATGAATGTGCTTTCAAAAGTTCAAGCCTCAAAAAGTCAAAACATTACGTGAGAATAAATGGACTTGAATACGTGTATTCACTTTTTCTGATTTTCTTCCCTCACCTTGTTGACCTTACTAGAGATTGCTGAAAGAGAAATTGTTGAGCATTAATGTTACCACCCTGAGCCTGTGTCAGACTATCTTCAGCAGCATTTGTATTATGAGATTCTTCCACAATATAATCACTTCGTTTTTTCTTTTCATTTTCTCCCTTTGGTTAGAAAATTGAATCGCAATAATTCAATTAATTGGCCGTGCACAAACAAAATCCAATAACAACCTACCACATAAAGTACCAGTCCAACAATAAACCCAATAATAATCATAATATTTCCCAAATTTTGAGCCAACTTGATTCTCTCCGCTTGTTTTTCTTGCTTCTTGTCAGTATTAAATTTCACCTTTAAAAAATCAGTCAACTCTTTTTTAATATTTTGGCATCTTTTCTTGCGCCATCTTTCGATCTTGTTGATAATCTTGAAGTCGTTGTTCGGAATCATCATTTGTTTGCTCTTTCAACACTCTACTGCTTGAATGAGAGAAATTTCTGTTGTGCAACACCAGTGGTGAGAAGGAGGATTGAAAGTCATATTACTTTTAGAGCCCATGATCATGATTACTCCTCTCCGAATAGAATGACTCCTCGACATGAATTGAATATTCTTTATGGAGGAACAACAATCTTCAAAGCGTCTCAGAGTGTTCGAGGATGCAGCATTTTTCTTTTCTATCAATCAAAATGATTGTTTTGAATGAACGCGTTGCAAGGTTTACTCCAAGATAAACCATCATTCTGAAGTGAAATGAAAAAGAGATAAATCTCTTTCTCGATTTACAGTTGGATGAGGAAGAAAAAATGTCTACAAAAAAAGCTCCTCAACAACACCACAACGTAAAAAGATACAACTCAAGTAGATGAAAACAATACTCCCGAAAGTGTATTGGTGGAGTATATTCGAGTGGGACAAACGGAGGAATTGAACAATTATTTAAGGATTATTTAATCGATCCAAATTTTCCAATTTACGACAAGTCTACCTCTACTACAAACGATGCGGAAAAGGTAGTTGTAGACTACCCTTTTACATTGGCAGCTCGGAATCGATTCAACGATGTTGTACAGGTGCTGGTTAAAAACAAGGCCAATATTAATTGTAAAATCAATGGAGATAATGTTCTTCATATAGCTGTTTCCAACAATGACGAAAGCTTCCTTAGAGCAATGCTTGAGGTGGAAGTTGTGCATCCAACGAAAAAGGAAATTGTAAAAAAATAGATATCGATGGTAGGAATGATAAGAACTTGAGGCCAATCGATATTGCTATCAATAATAACTCTACCACTTTAATCAAAATTCTGCTGGAGCATGGAGCTGAATTCGAGTTTGATGAGCCTCTCGAACATTCCAATCATACACTTCTTCATACATCTGCCATAGAAGGAGATGTCAAGAGATTGGCATGCTTGTTGGAGTTAGGCCAGTCTCCTTACAAGAAGGACATGACAACAGGTAGAAACATTTTGCATTTTGCTGTCCTTAATAATAGAAAAGAATTTGTAGAATATTATTTGAAAATGAAACTGGATGTATCGTTGCTGTACTCTACCGACCTTAATGGACAGACACCAATTCACGAATGCTGCAATTTAGAAAACTGGGAAATGTTTGAAGCTTTCATGACAAAATTCAATTTTGATATTAATTACTTGTTTCCAGATGGTCTTTCTCTGCTCCATAGATTTGCATTTATGAAAAACAAGACTTGTGTGACAAACTTGTTGGACTCAAGGCTAGATTAACAATTTGGACAAGTTGGTAACACTCCTTTGCATTGGCCTGTAGTTCAGGATCTATATCGTTAACAACCTACTTTTTAGAGAAGAAACTAAGCTCAAATGATCAAACTGTGTTGGGAATTCATGTCTAATGTGTCATGCTATCATGGCTTTGTGGACATTACCGAGCTACTACTCGAGACAAGAAAATTCAAATCAATATTTTGAACAAGGATCATCGATCACCACTCATGGAAGCAGTTTCAAGAGGTCATTTAAAAATTGTAGAGATTCTTCTTTCTAAGGAGCCATATCCATGAGGAGGACAATAAGGGATGACCAGCCTTCAAATTGCTCTCAACGAAAAAACAAGAGGAGATTGCCCTACTGTTGGTGAAGAAGGGAGCGAAGTAGACCGAAAATATGTAGGCTATGCCAGAGAAGACTCACTCAACGACCGAGAATACATGATTCAAAATCGTGTAGTAGAGAGCAATGAGCAGAGTATGGAGAAGCTTCGAAAGTCAGATCTAGGGTTCAATACTATTTTACAACAAGCCATTGTACTCGGGTTTTCAGGACTGGTCGATGAAATGGTCAAGCTTCCTGAATGTCCACTCGAGGTCCTGACGCCAACGGTGTGAAACCTCTTACGAATGCCATCAAGGTACAAAATATTAAGATGGTTCGCTCACTGACAGGAACTGGTAAGGTAGATTGTAGCTACGATTGACCCTATTACGGTTTTTCGCCACTTATACTCGCTTGTAGTTTGGGTAATTATGAGATTTGTGCTCATCTCGTTTGGAATGCAAGGTTTCCACGAACAGTTGTGAACCTGCCACCAATAAGACAGCACTTCACTATGCGTGCCGTGTTGGAAATCTAGAAATGGTGAAACTACTTGTTGATAATGGCTCTCGAGTTGATGATGTCGATCATCATCACCGAACGCCACTCTTTGAAGCCTGTGAGCATAACCATGGCGATATTGTCGAATATCTCATCGAAAAACAAGCCAATGTTGAGCACAAAGACGACGAAGGGCACACATGTCTTCATACATGCTGCAAACATGGCTCTGTCGCATGTATGACCTCACTCATTGCAAGAGGAGCTGTTCTTAACTCGAAAGATCTTGCAGGTAGAACACCCTTAATCGTTGCGTCACAATTCGGCCAAACAGAATGCGGACGAGTTTTAGTTAAAGCATTTGCATCCATGAAAAAGCACTGACCTTACTGTAAGTTACGCTTGGTGTTATTAATAAACATTTGTGAACTTGGAACTGTTTCCTCTTGTTACTCAGCAAAATTAAAGTGCATTCTAAATCATTACTAGTTTTTGTTGAGGTTGGTGTTTAAACCACGTGAGCATAGCCTGAGTATCAAACACAAAAAAAGACTCCCTCATTACATTGTTACGATAGTAGCAATCAATCCATCGTGCTATCTTTTTTGTTCGCAGAAAGAGCGACATTTAATTTGCTCCGACCCTCTTCACCCATCATCACCACATAACAAAAAAATGAGCAACACTGCACAACGTTTAAAGTCGAGAGGAACCTCCTTCCTCAGACAAGTCAAGGATATTGGTAACATTGCAGTTTCGTCCTTTGATGACATCAAAATGAGTATGGCAAAGGCTACAAATCAAGATCCGGTTCCACCAAAGGAAAAACATGTAAAGAGTAGGTGTATTTGTTTTGATGATTTGGTGTTTGATGAACGTTATTGTTGATTTTTGTATACTTTTGGTGTGTATGATTGGAATGAATGGTGGTAACAATGATTTGATTTTTCGATTTATACAACAATGAATGTGATGATTTGATACGGATTTTGGCCATCATCAAATGTATTACTGCTCTATGTGCTGTTTGATTTGGAAAACTATTCCTCTAAACTTTCACGGACATCCAATCCGATTGATGATAAAATTATCATCATGCTATCCATGACAATAATTATAACAATGCAACTGCTGTCATGATTACTCTGGTTGGCATCTCATTATGATCCAACAATAGAATTAATTCTTGCAACGGAAACTAACAGAGAACTAAATATGGTTGAATTTGCCAAAGCAGTTTGTAGAATTTACAGAAAAAGCAGTGACTGGCTAACAGCTTCTAAGGGCTTGCAGCTACTGCACCGTATTGTTCAAGAGGGATCCACCGAATTTTGTGATGCAATCGTTCAAAACGACCCTGAAAAACGTTTCAACATGTCCAAATTTAAGGATAGACACACAAGCGAGGCTATGGATCAATCTCCACTCGTAAAACAATACTGTAGATATCTTGAGGAGAGACTTATTCTGTACCGTATTTATCAACTCAAGTCATTACTTCCTGATATGACATTGGATGCATACGTGTCATCAAACGACATGAAGGATGGTTGGACTTGACTGAAAGTTTGCTTAGAGCCACAAATGAACTTGTTGAATGTTATGAACTTGTGAAAGGAAAGAAATCCATTCTCAACAATGGAGCAGCTGTTGGATGTTTCACTTTATGTTTGGATGACAGTTTTGTTCTTTACAAATTGTTGAGCGATTGTGCAACCAAAATTTTAGGTATGTTAATTGTTGACATTTAACATTAGTCATCATGATTTCTAACATGGTTTCCCTCACTTGCTATTCCTCTATTCAAATTATTTTCATCTTTGAACAATGTTTTCCTTTTCATCAAACACTTTGCCTGAACATCATAAATAATAGATGATTTCTACAAGATTCCATTATCTCTTGCTAAGAGAGCACTCGAAGTTTACCAGAAATACTGTGGAGCAATGAAACGTTTGGAAAGCATGTTCGAATTTAGCAAAAATGTAAATCAAATCTTCCTAAAGTCCAAACCACCTTCTTTAAAATTCAAACCTGAGAGTGTTTTGGATCCAATGCGAGAATATGTCGAATCACAAGGGGTACAAAGAGAAAACTCACCGGAGATCATTCAGAAGTTCCAACAACTGATCTTTCAAGCATTTTGTCAAAGAATGAATTAGAAATGATCAAACTTTCAACAGAAAATGAAGAAGATACCGCTTCCAACACTAAACCTCGCTCATCCAGCATCAAGAAAATCCTTTCGGATTGGATGAACCACCAAAACAAACCCCAAAGACATCTCCTCGTAGAGGTAGTACTAATACCAACACTACAACAACAACAAGTACTCCAATAACAATGCTGGTGTGAGTTTGGATGACTTACTTTCATTTGACACGCCTCCAGCAATAACCAACAACCAGCAACCAATGGTAATAATTTTAATAACAATCAGCCAAACCGTCAAAATGTCACTCAAACATCCTTAGCCAATTTGACAACAACATGTATTATGGTGGCAATAACTATGGTGGAAATTATGGAGCTAACAATAATTATGGATATGGCGCCAGTAATCAATACGGTGCTGGTTATTCCAACAACAACAATCCATACGGAAACAATCCCTATCCAAACAACAACAATCCATATGGAAACAATAATCCTTATGGAAATAATAATATGGCTTATAATAACATGCAATATCCAAACAATAATCCTTACCAAAACAACAATCCTTATGGAAATAACATGCAATACCCAAACAATAACAACCCTTACTCTCAACCACCTCGAGGTAACAACAACACTGCCAACAACTTTTACTAACAGCATGTTGGTCTGAACAGTCACTTGAATTTGCTGTTAGAAATTGGATTGACATTACTTTGAAACAGTTATAATAAATTATTATTGACATTCCGAAACGTAATTAATTATTATTTGTAAATTTTATAATTTGATTTCTGCATGCGCGACAACACTAAACGGACAAGTTTCGATCATTGTTCATCAAAGTCCGGGAAACTCCTCAACTCCAGTAGTTTTTTAAACAATTTCAAGTGAACAGTTCACATACTCGAAAAAATGGTTGATATTTGTCCGTCGCACAACGCTAGAGGTTTTACTCCACGCGTTATCCTTGCCTTGTTGTTGTTGTGTTTGATTTATTATGGTCGAGCTCTCTCGCAACTGCCACTTCATGTCCAGCAGGATACTTTGATTCTGGAAATATCGAACACCCTTGCTACGAATGTTCCGTTGGTCATTACTGTCCTGGAGATGGTCATTCATACGAGTGTGCTAATGGTACCATTTCCAATCAGATTGGACTTTCAACATGTCTGACATGTGCCAGTCAACGAACAAATTCAGATCACACTGTTTGTCTTCTTCCAGATACTCCTCAAGACGCAAGAGAATTCTCATTGAAACATGTCCTTGAGATTGATAATCACAATCCTTACTTGTATACCACCTTGAGATTCTCAGAAATTGGTGAATCGAATCCATTCCAATACATTCAACTCACGTTTTTAAACAGTCGTGCAGCTCCCATGTTGGTCTATGCTTCGACCGTGACCGGTCAACCATCTCCTCAACAATCCTTCCAATATTTTGCTTCTGGATTGAATGCAACCATTGCAGTTCCAAACCCACGAGGTCGATCTATTGGAGTCATTTTGTATCTTCATGTTGTTTCATTGAATGCAAGGAAAAGTGCAATGTTGGTTCAACCTTACAATTATTTGGATTTGATTTATACTTTGCAACCTGGTTCGAACTTTATTCAAACGAGCAGTGAATTGGCATTGTATAGTGTGGATAATGAGGTGTTATTGACCTATCCAAAGATTCCTCCTAATGCGAATGTGGAATTGCAAATTTCAGCACGAGAAGGATTTAATGACAAGATTTCATTTGTGTTGTGTTATTCGAGCAAGATTCCTCAGAGATTTCCCAATTATTACAATTCTGACACTTTCATTACAAGTTCTTACAAAGAAAATGCAAGTGCTTTGTTGAGAACAAATTTTGGCAATGATGGAGGTTATTTGGCCGTGGCTCTCATCTTTAAACAAACTTTTTGGAACGGAAAAATTAATGTAGACTTTAAAATCATGTCCAAGTAAGGGTTGTGGAGATTGTTAATAAATTCCACATTCTTTAACCACCCGTTGGTAGTGCTGTTGGTCATTAAGGATTTATCTCCATTGCATCTTCATGCTAGGGCTTTGGTATGAAATTTGCAATCTCATTAACAAGAGTATTGACAATAATAATAAATTCAACATGTAGCAAATCGGCAAGAGTCTCGTGTTATATTGAAGTCTCAAAAAAAGTAAAATTTCAATAAATTAGATGTTATTGGTGGATCAATCACTACTACTGATTAGAAATGTAAAAGTTAACAAAGTCCATGGTATACAACGAGGTTCTGTATGCAAAAACGCTCAAATTATCAGGATTCTCTGATTTAAGCTTTTTAAATTCTTCATCTCGTAAAAACAATTGAGGATTCTCACCGGTTTGTGTTTGGTACGAGTTCAGCATTTTCTTAAGCTTGTATTTATCTTCAAACGCTCGTGCAAGAATATATGTTGCCCCATTATAGTTGACACAATCGGATGGTTTCACCTTAAAGACAACATTCGATCGTGATTTTACAATCTTTCCTTCAGAGGATGAGCTCTTTCCTTCCGCAGATGAGTCACTCTCGGTTTTTCTCTTCTTTGGTTTTGGAGCCAAAATTGGAGGTAATGGCTCGCTCAAAGAAGCAGTTGCATCGGTGGACGATGAGGCGGCAGGAGAGCTTGCAACTGTTGATGATTTCGAAGAGGGAGGTGGAGGAGATACAATGGAATGCGATGGTGGTGAAGAGGTGACTCGTTGCCTCAATGACTGTTCATACTTCTCCATTTGTTTTACCATTGTGGAGAGTTGATGTTGAAGGAGACTAATCTTTTCACTCTTTTTCTTGATCACATCTTGATATTTTCTGTTCGCTTTTGTTAATGATTCAATCTTTTCCTCATGTCTGAGAATTTGGGCATAGAAAATTCGAGCCATTCCGCTCAAACTCTTCATGAAAACCTCAGGAGATTCTTGAGTGACAGAAAGAATGGCTCATCACTTTCCGATAATTGACCATTAGTATGAGATTCTTGTTTGGAGAGAGTTGATGGTGACTTAAAATGTTGACTTGGATCTTCATCTTGCATCATTTCGGCCAATTCTTGCTTGTATTTCATATCCAAGTCCTCAATTTCCTTCTCTGTAAATACTCTCTTCTTGGATGGTGTTTGTGGTGTGGTAGATGCTGAAAAAAGACGTGATTCTCGCTTTGAAGATGACGGTGTTGACATAGGTTCTTCGCTAGGTGGGGAATTGAAAGAAAATGTGATGGGTGCATCATGAGCCGATGACATGCTTGAAGCAAATAGTGGCTCTTGTGATGTAGTTCTGGATGAATCAACGACTGACTGTTCGGATTTGGCCTTTTCTTCTTGGATGGTGGTGTAGTAGTTAACGGGAGGAGCACTTGATGATGCAGTCGAAGGATTTCCCGATTTAAGGAAAGCTGTTGAATACATAATATCCTTGTTTTGATCTTCAATACGTTCTTGACCTGACACTGATGATGATAACATATTTCCAAATGTGCAATGAGGGGTCAATACCTATAATATGCAATGATAAAGAACAGTTCTCGTAGAAGTGAGGAAGTACTAGCAAGTATACAGCGGTGAGGATGAAAGTGGTTGGAGTGATACAAGGTGTTTGTTTCAAACTCGGATTGATGATCCAATTTGCTTTTTGAAAATAACGCTTCAAGGTTGAGTAATTGATAAAATTTCAAGCTCTGGTTGCGTATGTATGGGTTAAAACATGAAGACAACCAGAAGAAAGTGGTCCAGTGCAACATCACCATCATCATGAGATGACATCAAATTACCAGGTGGTCCGCAATTATGAACATCAAAGTTAGGTTAAAAAGTTGTATATTTTAGAGATAAATATAAAAGCCGTGGAACTTACAGTTTGTGCTGTTTCAGAGTATGATAGAGCTCGGAACTAGTAAGAGTTGTTTCTCAAGTACAAACAACCAATATTGCTCAAAGTCTAAGCTCCGAACAAAGACGCAATAGCTCTCTTTGAGATGGTCTTGCAAAAGTTTTAAACCCACGATTCGAATCGGAAAATCAAATCTTCAAACCTTGTGTCTTTTGATGAAAACACTGTGAGAATCTAAAGGTTTCTAGGTCGCGTATACAAGCAGATGCTTTGACAATGTGGAAAGAAAAGTCGTGTGTGATGCTTTGATATCAAGCAAAAGTGCTTTTTGAATTTTTTTTAACCACCCTCTTGAGGATTCATGAAGGATCTGCGTTCCATCAAGTTACTTTCTAAAGAGAAACCTTGTAGATCAAGAGGTAGAATAGTAGAAATTTTAATAACGGTTTTTAGAAAGAACGGATGAAATTCAATGTTAAAGTAGAGCTGATGATGATAAAAAACAAGAATCTGAAGGAGAAGACTGTCTATGATGATGGTGCACCAAAAATCTCAAAGGTTTGATTTGTAAAAATATTAATGTGGTTGAGTGTGTTGGTAGTCTGTTGTTGTTGTTGTAGCGAGTGGAGGCGGTCTTTGAGTTGTTGTTTCAACCATTTCAATATTGAAATGATGCAGTGTATGGCAACAAGAATGTAACATCTTCTCATCATCATCCGAGTCTTCAGATCCATTCATCTTCAAGGATCTCTCAACCCCTATTGATTTCCTCTCTAAGGTTTGAAACGATACGAAGTCACCGATTCTAACAAGAAGGGTCCATTCTCGAGATGTGTTTGTCTCTCGAGTTGAATGACTGAAAAGTTGCCCTCCATTAAGGATCCAGGATTCACAATCGGAAGAGTACCAACCAGTGAAGAGGAAGGTCTAAACAAGTGTGTATGTCCATGAATCAAACACACACAACTCGATTGTAATTCGGTTTGCTCAATGAATCCTCGAAGAGCATCGGAACCAGAAATGATTTTAGGACTCGTAATGTCCACTTTCTGGAAGAGAGTAGTATCACAGTTTGCTGGTCCGTTATGAGTCATGAAAATGAATTGATGTGATTGTTGTGCTTGTTGTGGTTGTAGTTGTTGTGGTTGTGGTTGTTGTTGTTGAGGAGTTTCAGTCGTCGTCATGTGTGATGGTGGTTCGGATGATGAGGATGATGGAACTTGACGGAATGCTTTCATTCTCTCAATTAATTGTGAGAGCTCATTGCCAAATGCTTCATCGGTGGAATGAGGATAGCCTTTCCATGCTCGTGTCGATGCAAGTTCTGGAGGTGAAATGTGGAATGAAGGAACACTTCCACCAAATCCTGCCAAATACAGGCCTTCTCTCAACTCAACAATGGAATTGTGAATGAGGTGAATGTTTTCATTGGGTTGAGTGAGTTTGTTTTCGAACATGGCATCTGGATCATGCTGTTGCAACAATATTCAATATGAAGTTATATTGGTTAATCATTCATGAAGGGTGAAAATGAAAGAATGGGACGAGATGTGAATTCATAATTGACATGAATTAAGGTGAGAAGTTTTTGAAAATGTTGATTCGTCATTAACACATACATTTCCTGGAATTAAATACGCCTTAGGTGCAAAGCTCAACATGCCTTGTGCAATCTTCTCCACATTTTTGAGTGATTCTAATTGAAATTCTTTACTCTTGTATTCTTCTTTTGTCTTGATATTGACAATATCGCCGGGACAGAGAACGATGTCGACTTTTACTTGATTTTTGTCCAGAATTTTCCTCACTCTTTCAAAGTAAATGTCATAATTGTGAATGTCACTCATGATTAATATGGAGAGACGTTCAGGTTGAGTACTACTACTACTACTTGATGAAATGTTGTCTTGAATTATTTCGGAAGAAGATTCTTTGAGTTTTTTCGAATGTTCTCTGCTATCCGATTTTTCATTGTTGACATTTTCTTCATCGAGCTTTCGTTTTAGAGAGGGTTCTGATGATGAAGCTTGTTCTTTGTTTTGCATATTTTTTTATTATTGAAATCTTAGTGTTGTTCCGTTTTCACACTGCGCTCCATCCATGTAATTACACTTAACAACATGAATTTCACCGCGTCAGTTATTTCTGTTGTTGCTGAGTGTTTGTAAATATAATTTTCTTTCCCATTCCTTGAAGCTCTTTGAGTGGCATCTTTTTTAATTGTTGTCGATAGGCCATCTTTTGTTGTTTTTGGATTGCTTTTTTCGAAGAACCAGGTTTTGCAATGAATTTGTTTTCTTCCTTTGATTTCTTTAGGACCTTGTCCATGTGTTTCTTTCTCATTTGTTTTTTGCTCTGTTTAATATCTGTAAGCGCCTTTCTAAGCTCTTCGGTGTTAGCAGCTTGTACCGTTATTTCCTTAATTTGAGAGGAAGCTTTTAAGACTTGTTCATTGTTAGATTTTGTCATGACAAGGTCTCTTTGATGTGAAGATGTGTCAGAGTCAGTGCTGGCGTCAGATTCATCCTCTACTTCTTCTTTACGAAATGCTGTAGACGAAGATGAAAGATCGCTGATATTGTCCATGTAATTATTTGCAGCATTGTTATGGTGCTTAATCATCAATGTGCTAGCGTTCGCTTCAAATGGTCGTAGCTTTCCATCCAAAATTCGGAAATGTTTCTTAATGGAATTCTCTCGAGACACAAAGCCTTTAAATATTTCCAATTTTTGCTGCTCAATCGACCGTAACGTGATTGAAGTCTTCCAAGATGGATGTATGGTGTCAATAGGTACAGGAATATTACTTTTTGTGAGATTGAATGGTGTATGGGAAGGAGTGATAAATATATGGCTAGCAGCAGAATTACCGTTTTGAATATTATTATTTTCTGATGATACTATTATTTCATCATTATTAATTGTACTCGGTGATGACGAAAGTGAATTAACTTTTGAAAAATTGGAATCATCCTCCTCTTCCTCATCATCATTCAAATCCGAAATAAAGACGCTACTACCAGATGATTGTGTCTTATTTCCGGGTGTTATTGAATTTTTAGTATCATCAATTTCATCTTCACCACTTTCATCCAGTAATACAGACTCTTCAACTTGATCATTAAAAATTGAATTTAATTCATCATCATTCATCACTCGTTCATCCTCTTTAGATCCATTCTCATCCACAAAAAAATCATCCTCATCTTCTTGCAACAAATTATTTCCAAAAGTAGATGAATGAACACCATCATCCTCTTCATCACTGCTACTTTCAACATCTCCGAGAGAGGACATGAACACAGAAGCTCCAGTTCTTCCCTGATTCAATTTAGACATTTTTAATGTGTGGTTCAACAATTTTAAAAATGCAAGAACAACAAGAAGGTGAATCATTGTTGAACCGAATTCATCATTATCGGGATGATCATGTCGTCGGAAATACCACTTCTACTAACACACATCAACAACGTGCTAATGAAAATTTAACCAGTGAAAATAATCATGAACAAGTTGATAACAATGACTCGGAGGAAGTATCGTTACATGTAGAACATTTTACCGAAGCACATCCTATTAACACTGGTGCGGAAGAGGAAATATCACATGACGAACAACAATATTCTAACCCTCAAAGTGGAGGAGTTAGAAAAGGCTTATTCGGAAGACGTGCATGGGACGATCAAGTCTATCAACAACGTGCAGCTGAACGTTTGGAACGAGAAAAAGGTGGAGTAGATACCGATGAAAAAAGAAAAGTTGTACAAACTCGTTCCGAGTCTCTACAGAGAAAACCTCTTCAAGCTCGTGAATCAAGATTGTTAAACTTATCGGATGAAAAACTTATTGGAAAGAAGGGAGTTATTGATGTGACTGCAGAAGGAAAGCATATCATGCCCAACTCAAAAACTCTCATTAAAAAGAAGAGCACAAGGGAGGAAACGATTCAAAAAGTAGATCCAAACGAGTTGGCAGGATTCTATTGTAGTGTTTGTGATCGAAGCTTTAAAGATTCTGCTAGCTATGTTGACCATTGTAATTCAAAGCCTCACTTGTCTAGATTAGGAATGACTAATAGAGCTGTTAAAGCATCTGCAGATGACGTGAAAAGAAAACTGCAAGAAATTATTGATGCCAAAAAGTATGAGCAAGGAAGATCTCCTCATTCTGTATCATCGCTGACAGCTTTGGCATTGAGCCGGCTTAAAAGCTCCAAGAATAATGGAACCGATGAGGTAAACAAAAAGTAGATCTCAAAGAGCATGGGTAAGAATCTTATCCTAATGATGGAATGTCACCTGTTTGGTGTCTGTTGAGTTTGATTGTGCGTTGGTCTTCACATGGATTGTCTGCCACAGATCAACGGAAATGCCGACGAATGTTTATTGAGAGAAGGTAAACTTCAAATTTGAAAGAGTTCTTCATATGTCATCTTTGAACCCAACACCAAGTTTGAACTAATTTGACAAAATTTTTTTATGTTTTATTGAAACACTAATGTTACATTTATGCTTCTTCGCACCACTTGTTCTCTTCTCTTATCTTTGCTTCCTCTTCAGGAGTGAAATCTGCTCATATACATCGGGAGTAAAAACGATCAGCTATCATTAAAATTTCATTGAAACACCACTTACCATTTTCAATACCAAACATTTCACGAATTTGCTCTGGTGATTTACCCTTGATCATCGATGCAACCTTTGCACATGTAAGATCTAAGAGATCCTTGATGTTCAAATAGTTGGCAGCCATGATGAGTTCGATCAAGAGAGATTGATCAATTTCCAAGAACTATGGATGTCGAATCATCAATGAGATAAAAATAAATGACATCACCAAACATGTTGAGCATGCAGACATCATTGGGTACCATCATCACGATGAATAAAATATACTCTATTATATCATCATACATACCTTCTTGTCCCAATCACAGATAACATCCTCAATTTTACCCTTCAAAGGCTTTTCAATTTCTTGGGCTGGTTCCTTGTGGTGATATTGGCAGTATTCAATAACCTTTTGCAATGGTTTAGAATCAACGTTTGGAACTGGGATGATTGGGCAATCGTCTTCATCACCTTCTTCCAACATATCTTTCACGAGTCCAGACATGAGAATAACATCTCTGTCGACCTTGAAAGATTGCTTATCCTTGGATTGTAATTCGACTTGCTTGGCTTCAGACATTTTATTTTGTTGTTGTGGGTGTTACGTGATGGCACGTGGTGTGGAATATTTTTTGTAGCAAAAATGACGAGCCTGATGCCTCACGCATACACAAGCCAAAGTGATTGGTTGGCTCGATTACAAAATTTACAACGTTCAGCTCTGGGTGGAACATGGTGTTACAAGTTCATGCCCGAATTTACTTACGTGTTCCGAGAATTCATGGAGCATTACCAAACAATCTAAGTGAGAACATATCGACGAGATCTCAATAAATTGATGATGAGCCCAACAAAAGTATCACTGAGAAGCATCGTTGCTCGAGAAGAAGCACTAAAGTAACTATCAAAGGCCTGATCAATGAAGTGCTCATTTGGTGTTGGTTAGAAGCGGTGCAATGGTGAACAATGACCAAGTTTACAGTTCATCATGTCCAACTGTAGAGAGATTGGTGCTACAACATGAGGATGATGTCATCTGCGCGAGCGAAAGTTTACAGTTCCTCATCTCTTCGAACTGAATAGACAAACACAAATCTATTTTCCAACACGAGGTACCTCGAAAAGCCCTACATGTGGATGGACGTTGGCTGAACACCCGAGCAAGTTTTCGAAAAGGAGCAGATCTTCAGAAACATGACAACCATGGTCATGTCCCTTCCACACACACCTCATTGAATTTTGGCACCTCTGGTTTGTGTTACTCTCTTCTGGTTGGGATTGATCAAGCTCTTGGGTGCTTTCCTTTTGGTAGTGGCAGTCTTCTTTTCATGATCACTATTGGAGGATCCTCCACTGTTGTAGCCTGAGCCAACATCACCACTGACGCCACCGCTTGTGGAAGAAGTCATGGCACCACCTCCAGGTTGATAAAGAATGAGTCGATCTTGTGCTTGACGAAGCTTTTGCTTGGTCTCTTGCAATTCACGTCTCAAGTCAGAGATGAGTTTGGCGTCTTTCAATAGACGGACCTCACTCAAGGACGAGTTGTACGACACCAAGTCAAACAACAATTGTTGAACTTTTTGTGTAAAATCAACCACGTGTCGAATGGCATAGAGTTCAAAGAGGAATTTGAGACGAATAGATGCAGAGAGTGGAGGATTGGAGGAGCTGGCGCTTGCCTTTTGTCCACTCAAGGTGCCTTCTCCTGTCTCACTCGAGGATGTTGCTTGTGGATTGATTGCTGTCGTCTTTGTCATCTGATTCAATGGAGAGTAAATGATCAATTGAATAACATCCTTAGATTCCTTATTTTCCTCGTCAAATTGAAGCGAGACATGAGAAAGAGTGGGATCATCACTCGACGACAATGCCATTGTCCCACCAGTAGTAGCATTAGTATTCACACCTGTCTCAGTATTTTGCTTTTCAATTAAACTACTTCCAAAATAAAACAATCCATTTCTCAAATATTTCAAATAATTTGACCATGACAAGTGGTTCATGGAAATCTTTTTACGATGTTCCTGCAACTCTTCAAATCCCAAGTCGCATTCATAATATTCGTCGCTTCCATTGGTGCACGAGAGGAGTAGCCTGAGAGATTGTTCCTTGTGTTCTCGTGTCAAGTGTTGATGAGGAGCCATAAGAGATTGTAATTGACTCGGAACATCCAAAGAATTGATTGAGAGACCACCACCACCATACTGATTTGCAACTCCTTGATTCTGCATATTTAATGACATGAGAGAGGAGAAGGACCCACCTGCCACAGAAGCCAGATATAAATGTTGTTGTTGCTGATGTTGGGCCATAGCATCCAATAAAGACATGGTGTTTTGATTCAAGGCTTGATCCATTCCGTTCAAAGTTAATGTATGATTGGACGTGGTAACATGATGAATATCACTCGTGATGGCGTTACGAGTGGGCCGAATGACTCTCATACTCACGACGAAAGGAACCCGATTCAACTGAACAATTTTATGAGTGGATTCTAACTGGGACATGTTGGTGAGGAATTGAACAAATTCTAAACGTTCAACTTCTCTTTCTTCTTCGTCCAACGAAGATGATGAGGAAACATTGCTTTCCGTGCCTGATGATGACTTTGTGTTCTTTCTTTGCATTTTTTGTTTGATTGCTCAGGCTTGTCAGCGTGTGGTAGGTGAAAACCTTAAAAAAAGAATAATAGTGAATGATAATAATAATGATTATTTAGGGGTTTAAAAGTGATGCTCGTCAATGAATGTCTAGAGGTCTGGAGAAATTCGTGAATGACTTGTATTATTGCTCATCTTCTTCAACTTCTGGCATTTGGAACATGGATTGAGACTTGTCAACAAAACCAAAGAATTTTTGAATGCTCGTCTTGAAGCTATTGCTTGCCAAAATGTAAATGAATAACATTCCACAATCCCTAAAGTCACTTCCAGGAATGTTTCTGTGTGTAAACATGTGGAAAATTGAGAATGGCTCAAAAGGCAACTTGGCTACAATTCTACCATCAAAGCTGTCGTTGTTGTGAATTATTCAAAGATTTGGTCATGATTTAAAATTGTGGTTATCATTCAGTCGTGTCGTTCCAATGAATGTTCATATTAAATACGTGTCATGATTCGAATTTTTGTTATCAAGACGTAAAACCAGTAACGACAAGATAATCAATATCCCATGCATAAATCAAAAAATTCAGTGTTAAATTTTCTGATCAGCACACACACTTACACATTGTTCAACAATCCAAAAACACTAATCATGATGATACCAACAATAATGGTACTCTTCATCTTAAACATGGATAACTCTTGATTTTTAGCTCGGAGTTGCTCCTTTTCTCTTGTCAAGTTATCCTTCTTTCTCTTGATAGCCTTTTGGTCTTCTTTGGAGTTATTAATACTTCCTCCTTTATGAACCACAATGGTTTCCTTCTTAATTTTATCAATTCTCTTTTGAATTTGGTCAATATCATCTTGTAATTCTTGATATTCACTCTTCCGATAAACAAATATCCACTCCACAAATGTGGTCAGCAGCGATGTGCACAAGGCAACCATCATGACAACACAAGCATAGAAAATATTCATTTTTTTTTTGAAAAAATTTAATAAATTAATAAAAATTGAATAGCACGTGTTCTAAAGGGTGGATCTAATGCGTTAGATACTCAATGATGATTTAGTTTCGACAATGAGCTAAAGAATGCATTCTCGAGTGTATTTAACGTTATTCTCTGTTTTGAGATTACAAAAAAAATGAGTCAACAACACCCATCATCACAACTTGGTGAACGAAAACCTTTTGTGATTGGCTATGTCGGAAACGTGAAGAAAAACAAACAATTTTTTGAACCATTTGTTGAATATTGCAATAGGGTGAGAAAGAATATTTGCTCATGCGTTGAGATTGTGATTGAAAAATCAACTCAGAATATTGATGAAAAAATTAGCTCTGATGACCATGATTACGAATGGATCAAAAAACAACCAAGAGTAGATGTACTTTTCTTCAAAGTAACTGATGATATGGTAATTGAAAAATCCGACATTCATGCTGCAAGACGTTTAAAAAATCTTCAATACTACATTGATCTCCATGAGAAGGACGGTATGAAGGTAGTAGAGCCATTGCATGTCACTAGAAGATTTTTGGATAGAATTGAAATTCATAACTTCCTTGAGACGCAATTAGCGTCAAGTACAAATGTGAAAATACCACACATGTATTTCATTAGTGAAAAACAAGATTTAGACAAGCTATTATTGCAACAGAGCGAATCTATATCCTATCCTTTGGTTTGTAAGACTGTGGCTGCTTGTGGAAAATCTGAAACTCATCACATGGCCATCGTTTTCAATAATGAGCAATTCAAACGAGTTGTGTACGGAGACAACAATGACGCAATGCAGCATACGGTATCTACACCTCTGATCGCTCAACAATTTGTGAATCACAATTCGACCCTTTACAAAATTTATGTGATTGGCGAACGGGTATTCTATCAAATCAAGCCATCTCTTAAAAATTTGAGTTCATCACAAGAAAACGCAAACATCATTACATTTGACAGCCAGAAGCCATTCGACTCTAGTATTAGTGACACGTCCGTTGTGGAAAGTTCCTTAACAGAGATTTCGTAT